TGTATCCATTCCTCTGTTGATGGGAAGCGCAGAGTCTTAACCACTGAACCACAGGGAAATCCGTGCCAGTAGATTTTAATGTTCAGCTACTTGTTCTATAAATGAAACACTTAAAACTAAACTTATAACTATATATTACAGAAACAAGGGGTAATGCTCGGTGATATGTTTTAACAAAGCTGTTAGCATACGGTATTTGTCCTTCTCTTTCTGACTTACTTCACTCTGTATGACAGACTCTAGATCTATCCACCTCATTACAAATAGCTCAATTTCGTTTCTTTTTATGGCTGAGTAATATTCCATTGTATATATGTGCCACATCTTCTTTATCCATTCATCCGACGACGGGCACTTAGGTTGTTTCCATCTCCGGGCTATTGTAAATAGAGCTGCAATGAACATTTTGGTACATGACTCTTTCTGAATTCTGGTTTCCTCAGGGTATATACCTAGTAGTGGGATTGCTGGGTCATATGGTAGTTCTATTTGTAGTTTTTTAAGGAACCTCCATACTGTTCTCCATAGTGGCTGAACCAATTCACATTCCCACCAGCAGTGCAAGAGTGTTCCCTTTTCTCCACACCCTCTCCAGCATTTATTGTTTCTAGATTTTTTGATGATGGCCATTCTGACTGGTGTGAGATGATATCTCATTGTAGTTTTGATTTGCATTTCTCTAATGATTAATGATGTTGAGCATTCTTTCATGTGTTTGTTGGCAGTCTGTATATCTTCTTTGGAGAAATGTCTATTTAGGTCTTCTGCCCATTTTTGGATTGGGTTGTTTATTTTTTTGTTATTGAGCTGCATGAGCTGCCTGTAAATTTTAGAGATTAATCCTTTGTCAGTTGATTCATTTGCAAATATTTTCTCCCATTCTGAGGGTTGTCTTTTGGTCTTGTTTATGGTTTCCTTTGCTGTGCAAAAGCTTTGAAGTTTCATTAGGTCCCATTTGTTTATTTTTGTTTTTATCTCCATTACTCTAGGAGATGGGTCAAGAAGGATCTTGCTGTGATTTATGTCATAGAGTGTTCTGCCTATGTTTTCCTCTAAGAGTTTGATAGTTTCTGGCCTTACATTTAGGTCTTTAATCCATTTTGAGCTTATTTTTGTGTATGGTGTTAGGGAGTGATCTAATCTCATACTTTTACATGTACCTGTCCAATTTTCCCAGCACCACTTATTGAAGAGGCTGTCCTTTCTCCACTGTATATTCCTGCCACCTTTATCAAAGATAAGGTGACCATATGTGCATGGGTTTATCTCTGGGCTTTCTATCCTATTCCATTGATCTATCTTTCTGTTTTTGTGCCAGTACCATACTGTCTTGATTACTGTAGCTTTGTAGTATAGTCTGAAGTCAGGCAGCCTGATTCCTCCAGCTCCATTTTTTGTTCTCAAGATTGCTTTGGCTATTCGGGGTCTTTTGTGTTTCCATACAAATTGTGAAATTTTTTGTTCTAGTTCTGTGAAAAATGCCAGTGGTAGTTTGATAGGGATTGCATTGAATCTATAGATTGCTTTGGGGAGTAGAGTCATTTTCACAATGTTGATTCTTCCAATCCAAGAACATGGTATATCTCTCCATCTGTTTGTATCATCTTTAATTTCTTTCATCAGTGTCTTATAATTTTCTGCATACAGGTCTTTTGTCTCCTTAGGTAGGTTTATTCCTAGATATTTTATTCTTTTTGTTGCAGTGGTAAATGGGAGTGTTTTCTTGATTTCACTTTCAGATTTTTCATCGTTAGTATATAGGAATGCCAGAGATTTCTGTGCATTAATTTTGTATCCTGCTACTTTACCAAATTCATTGATTAGCTCTAGTAGTTTTCTGGTAGCATCTTTAGGATTCTCTATGTATAGTATCATGTCATCTGCAAACAGTGACAGCTTTACTTCTTCTTTTCCAATTTGGATTCCTTTTATTTCCTTTTATTCTCTGATTGCTGTGGCTAAAATGCTCGGTGATATGTTTTAACAAAGCTAGAATTTTACATAAAATATCCATCCACTAAATATACAAAGCATATGTTTTTGATTTGTATTCAACTCATTCATTTTATTTGAGGATTGGAATATGGAAATATTTAAAGAATAACTGCATCTTGAATTTCTAATTTGCATTCTGCCATCTTAATTAAGATCTCTGCTACATCCTAAATTAAAAACACATTTATTGTAGATTTGAAATCTACAGTACAAAAAAGTTTTGTTTTTAAATAGCTGGTTTCTATCCCTCTAGACTGCATAAAGGAATTCTAATAAAAAAGGAACTTACCAGAGAAGAATGATTGGTCTTTGGCAAATGTATCATCTTTTCAGAAGGAGCCAGTGCAGATACCTGAAATATTATAAAACTCTAATCAGCTTAAACATTTGCTCTTTTTTCTTTTGTAGCAGAACTTTTCCATAGTAATTTCTAATAAGAGAAAGATCAGTCTTTAAAATTTGAAGTGCTTTCTTTTGAGTTTTATTTAAAGCATAAATATCCACTGGTAAACAACAATGTTTTCCTGACATTTCCTTTCATGGTGTTATGATGACAAAGAACCGTTGTCATGAGACGATGTTATGATGAGAACAGTGTATCAGATCCAGTAAAACAAAGCACAGTTTTAAGCTTTTTTGTTTCTTTGGAGAAAAGATCATTTTGAGATTAAATTTTGATAGTCCATAAGGTGAATTTAGATCTTGGTGTCAATTTAAACATATTTAAAGGACTCTTTTAAGATTTTAACATATTGCTCAACTTACTGTGGAACAAAATAAGTGTAGTATCCTCTATGCCTTGGATATTCTTGTGGTCCTTTTTGGAATACAGTCATTTCAACAACATTAATATTTAGACTTTGGGGGTAATTCTAGCCACTAGAATTCTAACATTTAGATATGATCTAAGATTGGGGCGGGGGCAGGGGGCAGTCCTTTCTAAGGCACATAAAAAGACCAGCAAAATGTAAAGAAGCGTTTAGATATTTCTCCCTTTTTAACCAGAATTTATCTTCAGATTAGGTAAAGTTAACAATCAGTGTATCTCAGTTGAGCTCTTCTTGTATTATGCTGAAGTCTGTGGTTTTCTGGGTAGCAGAGTCACACTAAAATACCAAAGAAGCTAATAAGATGGGAGTATTAGTAATCAAGGTTGAAGTCAGTTAGGCAAAGTCTAGAAATACAGGCCAAACGTTTTCATAGATATTACAACTGATACCACATTCACGTACCTGGGTTATTTTTCAGATTATTAAGACTGCTCTCCAATAAATCATTACTCTCATTATCAGTCAGCAGGGGCTGGGCTGGTAAAAATAGCTTGCCAGGTTAGTAGAATTTATTTGCAGGGAAATATATACATATCTATATTTCAGAATTCAAATATCTGGTTCTGCTTCAGATGCCAACTATTTAATAGCCAAAGAATGTTCTTCCCCTGCGTGAAAACTGACCCAGAGATAAGTATCCTCGTTTCCAAAAAAAAGTACAAAGTGAAAGGAAAACAAATAACATAAAACCATATCCCTTAAAGCAGAGATCAGCTGGCCGTCATCGTTCACTGCACATCTCAGAGGTTCACTGAGGAGCTGGCTGTCTCGGGGCTGTTTGGGGACAGAAGTCACCTTGGAACATAGGTGTCAAGACTCGTGGAGGAGTTCCTTCATTTCTGTTTGAAAATGAAATTTAGTCTGGCCATCTTTAAAAAGTCAAAAGTCTTTTATACCATCAACACTTACTAACAGTTACTTAAAAATTGAAATCAGTGGCAAAATGAAAGCTCAGGGAGAGAGGCGACATAGGCATGGACAGTCCACTGCACCCACACACATCTCCCAGGCTCAGCGGGGCCAGAGAGTGTGACCCGGTGTGAGTAACGCCACCAGGAATTTCCATTCACCCATTAAACAAATATTTATTGAGTAACTAGTATGTGCCAAGCATCATATTTCTTGCTGCTAATAGCCCTCTGAGTTTTCAGGTCATTTATTTTAAGGAGGGAAAATACAGTTTGCTATTTTTTAAACCCAAATGCTTCAACAAGAGAACCGTTTTGATTATTATAGGGAATTGGACAGTTGTTCGGGGAAGTGGAAATGATAAAGCCATTTTCCTTTAAGACAAGGCTGTTGGGTCCAAGTAGCAATCAGTGCAACGTTTAACTGATTTATTACAATAGTACTATCTCTTTCCAGTAAGTGAATACTTAAAATCTACTTAAAGAAGACTGCTAGTGGGAATAGTCTGTTGGGTTGTTGATGCTTCCTTTATTAATATATGACCCCACACTGAGATTCAGTAATTGCTTATTTTGGCCTAGGCAACGAATTCACTTCTTGCTCTAAGTGTGAGGGGACTGTCAATGCACAGGTCAATCCTATCAATATATTCTTCAGGTTTTCTCCTGCTGCAAGAAATGGGAGGGGCGCAGGGCGATGGGATGGTTGACAAGAGTGCTGGTCAGGTTTGGAGATGGGAACAGAAGCTGTAAAGCACATTGAAGGACACATGCGTGGACTGGGCCTCCAGGAAGTGAAAGCTTTCTTACCAGAGGCTTCCTGACGGTGGATCTGGGGTGTGGTCGAGGGGATTCATACACTAAATATCATACCTGAATTAGCCCAGATTAGTGTGACCTATAGGGCAAGAAAACCTTTTAAGTACCATGTACTGTTTCGATCATTTTTACAGGAGTCTTGGACTTTTTTTCTGCCAAAAAAGGACAGTTCTGGCCATATTTCTGAGAAAACAGTAGAGTTTTGTCAATCTAGCCTTATTTAGCTTTAGCTTTTCATTGCTGTCGGGGCAAAGACTAAATCATTGGCTCGACAGACGTAAAGCACGTTATTCCACCATCTGGGTCTCAGACATAATACTATATTTTTCTTTTGTTTCTTGTCTAGTGGGCTTTTTAAAAAATGAGGTCATTCCCTTATAATTTTGGTTTTTCTCTTTTCATTGTCATTGATTTCACAGACTTGTCCCCTTTCTGCCTTTTCCACCAGTTTACTTCAGTGTCCCCAGCAGTTCCTGAATTCTTGAAAACGCCTACTGCAGACCAGCCCCCAACACGGTCCACAGCGCCTGTCCTCCCCACCAACACCGTGTCCTCAGCAAAGCCTGGGCCAGCACTGGTGAAGGTGGGTACCCTGCATGCACGCCGCTTTGAGTGTCTTTACCTTCAACTGTGGTGTGTAGCCCTGAGCACAGAGGACAAAGGCTGTGTCCACGTTGCCCGGCCTGCCTTTTAGCCTGAAGCCTTGAAAACAAAACCACAAGAAGGACTTGCTCACCCAGGCCTTCATAACTGAAACCACCACCACCTTCAACAAATGACCTCTCATTCGATGGTCACAGAAGAACAGCACAAAATTCAGTCTGTATAAAATGACTGCAGCAGTGCAGAAAGACTTTAGGAATCATTTTATCAGCAGTTCCCAATTCTGCTTCCACCGAGGCCACTAAGATGAAACAAACAAGGGAGAGAGAGACAGTCTATAGTACTTGGGATTCATGAATCTCACAAGCAGGTGCCTGTAATGGTAACATGATTCGGGGCTTTATACACAAGGTCAAACTCAGTGGTACTGCAGATATGTGACAGGTTAAAGGTTTTTGAGAAGCAAATACATTTTTTTGATTTAGCAGATTTGGCCTGATACAGTGATTTGTTCTTCACATAAGCTGCAGATTTGTGGCACTGTTCCGTGCATTTTACTTGGTCAAAATAATTCAGTTAGAAGTTCCGAGGAAGGTTAAAATTTTCAATATATAATACATTTTTTAAGTTTTTTAACGTGTATGTAGAACTGGTAAATAAAGGGGGGGGTGTTATAAACTGAGGAGTAGTTTAATCATTTCAGATGTGACTCTTGCCAAAACTAGCAGAACACAGATCTCAAACTTTTAGAACTAAAAAAGGACTCAGAGGGGCTATAGCTCAGCCTCTCAGCACCTTTCAGAGGAGGAGACTGAGGCCCAGAGAAGTGAGGAGGTGACAACGCCAGGAGGACCCCGTCTCCGAATCCCAGTCTGGCCTTCATCCTTCCTTCCCAGTTAGCCATTGCAGCACTCCTGGAAGGCAGCTAGCCTGGGGCATGTTCCTCACTCCCCTCGTTCCCCAGGACCTGTGCTTGTCCTGACCTCCCTTGGAGAGAAGGCGCTTTCGTTCATCCGTGTGCCCAGGTGTCCATGCCTTCAGGGCACATACCAGTGTATTTCACCGTCTTCACCAGAAATCCCAAAGGGTGGCAAGTGTAACTGTGCCAGTAAAATCAGCTCTTACCTCCTCTTCCCACAACCCCCAGCATGTCCCACCAATAGCACAAAGGGGGTTCGAATGCCAGCCCGTCTTTCCCTGCAGATACTGAGAATTTGTTCGCTGCCTCTCCTGCTCTCTGAATTTCTGCTCCTCACTAGTGTCTGTCTTTAAGGAGGGCTTTATTTCTAGAGCAAAAGGCATTGTTTAAGAATGTGAGACCGAGGGGTTGAGTAGACTATCCTGGGAACTGTGCCAGTAGAGGAAAGGATAGGTACACATTAGGAAACAGACCACAATTCTTTGGGGTTTTTCCTATGAGGAAAGCTATTTCCCATCCTCAGTCCTAAGAGAATAGACATGTGCAGGCTAACAGGTAACAGCCAATTTAGTCTGAGGAATGCTGGTTATTATATTTCTGTCCCCTTCTTGACTGTGTCTGGGTCTTGTTTTATTACATAACAATTATAGTCAACCCTTCTTAACCCAGACCCCATTCATTTTATGATCAGTCTGAAAAGATTAGAAATAAAATTTATTATTGATAAAATGAGCAGATGACAGTGAATTGATTAATATTGTGAGATTGCAGGAGGAGGCTGTTTTAGCGACAAGAATATATTCTAACATTGTGATGTATTTTAAGTGCCTGATAATTCAAGTGATTTCTAATTAGCATACACATTTATCATTCATTAATTCAGCAGATATTTATAGAGCACCTTCTGTGTGCACCAGAAGGTGCCAGCCAGGTGCCGTTCTGGGTACGAGGAGTAGATAAAGCAGTGAAGAAAACATCCCAGTACCTCCGCCTTGGATAGGAGCTGGAGGTGAACAGACATAAAACAGAGTGTGCTGGGTGGTGAAGAATAAAGCCAAGATCAGGGATGGAGGCAAGGGAAGACGTTTCTGTCTGAAGTAGAGTGCTCTGGTCAAATGAGCAGATGACATCTGGGCAGAGATCTAAAGTGGGTGAGGGAGTAGCTGTGAGGACATCTGTGGGCAGAACATTGAACGTCACTGAACAAGGAAGCCAGTTCAACTGAAGAGAGATGGCCAGGCAGTAAAAAGTGAATATTAATAGTGACGATTTCTGATATACAGAATATGGTGATTTTTCTTTTCTTCTTTATTTCTGTTTTCTGGGGTTTTTTTGCAATGTCCTAATTCTTTGAATGTGAACTTATATAACGTGATCACACTGATAGCTATATTTAATTTAGTACTTCTCAAAGTTTTCTTACTAAGTTGGGTATTTTACCTAAAGCATCTTGGAAATAATTTTCTGTACCTTGTTGTTTTGTGCTGCTTTGTTTTGTTGGTGGACTTTTTTTTTCAGATGAAGTTATCTTACAATCTGAATACTAAAAAGTAGAAAGTCATCTGATAACTTATAAATGGAGGAGGTGAAAAGAACTCAGAAAAGTCATCTGATTCTTAATCATAAGACAGGGTCTCACACCCCATTTTCAAAATAAAAATGTAATATTTTTGAAAATTTTTAAAAAATGCATATTCACATTACTCAGTATTCTTTTTTCTGCGTATTTGCCATAGAAATTCATGGCTTTATATTCTGCTTTATTCCCATTAGAAGCATTTTTCTGCTTTTACATATTCACCATAGATTCTTTTTTAATGACCATAAAATATGACACAGTTATGAAGTATACTTAATCTTTTCCCTATTGTATATTTAGCGTGAGGCCTGTTTTTCACTAGAAGGTAGTGTATGTAAGTACTAGGCAACATCTACACAGGAGACCGAAAGTAAATGTTTGTTGAACTTGAATAGATAATGCTGAGCTGAGCATCTTGCCCTTAGTCTAAGGCAACAATGCATCAGGAGAAGCAAGTCCTTAGGAGCAAGATTTTTGGGCACAGGGAGTACTCGGATGTTCTCACAGCTCTTGAAATGTATTTAGTATATTGCTCTCCAGAGCAGCGACACCGGTTTCCAAGGTGCGTTGCGTTTTCTTTTCAAATCAGTTAGGCACACAGTAAGTACAATGGATTGCATTCTCTTAGAATTTTCTTACTGTCTTTTTCTCGAAAATAGCAAAGCCACCCCAAGAATCCAAACGACAAGCACCGTAGCAAAAAGTGCAAGGACCCGAAGCCCCGGGTGAAGAAGCTGAAGTACCACCAGTACATCCCGCCGGATCAGAAGGGGGAGAAGAGCGAGCCGCCCATGGACTCCAACTACGCCCGGCTGCTCCAGCAGCAGCAGCTCTTCCTGCAGCTGCAGATCCTCAGCCAGCAGCAGCAGCAGCACTACAACTACCAGACCATCCTGCCTGCGCCACTCAAGTACGGGCTGGGGTCGAGGCCGGCTCCGTAAAGCGGGGTGGACTGTGGTTGTTGATGAGGGACCATTAGTTGCTAAAGGCTGGATGTTGTGATTTACTTGTGCTCAGTGATTCTTTTCATTTTATTACCATCAAAGCTCACACAGTATCTGAAGTCAGCACAGTGAGAATAGCCTCCCTTCCAGTCCATTTTTTGTCCTCCAGAACAGGTTCTGAACTTCTCAAGTTAGAAATGACTTTTCACAATTATTCATCCAGGAAAGATCTGCCTGTTCTTTACATGAATAGTATTAGATGCTATGAGAAAAGCATAAAACGTGTAAACCTGGTGGGCTTCCCTGGTGGCGCAGTGGTTGAGAGTCCGCCTGCCGATGCAGGGGACACGGGGTTGTGCCCCGGTCCGGGAGGCTC